GATTACTGCATGCGTGCGTGCGAGCGTTAATAATGCCAGGTTTTTAGTTCCAGCCCACTGAAATACCATGCCCCAGTTTGACAAGAGACACAGTATACTGACTCCGAGCCGACCAGTTCTTGTTTTAGCACCTTATTGCCGAGCGCCAGGCAGGGTAATAACAAGTTTAACGTCGTTTAGTATGACGTAGCCGGGGATCGAACACCAACCTTCCGCTCTCCCAGCAGATGCTCTATCCACTTGACCGCGGAGGCGGTCTTAGTGTACATGATAAACACGAGGTCGCTAATATCACGTGCATAATGTCGGATGGTTTACATAAGGGTTTCATAAATATCGGACCGTTGACGTGCAATTTGTATCATGTGCCATATCATTAAATAGTTATATTTCTCATTCCACGAAGGGGCGGTGGGGTATTCTAGTGGTTAAAGCGTTCGCTCGTCACGCCGAAGACCCGGGTTCGATTCCTGACATGGGTACAATGTGTACAGCCCATTTCTGGTGTCCCCCGCCGTGATATTGCTGGAATATTGCTAAAAGCGGCGCAAAACCATACTCACTCACTCACTCACTATCATTAAATAGTTATATTTCTCATTCCACGAAGGGGCGGTGGGGTAGCCTAGTGGTTAAAGCGTTTGCTCGTCACCCAAAAAAACCCAGGTTCGATTCCCCACATGGGCACAATGTGTGAAGCCTATTTTGTATGTCCTCCGTTGTGATATTGCTGGAATATTGCTAAAAGCGGGGTAAAACAATACTCACTCACAAACATAAGAGAACATGTACCTCCCAGCATGACATTTGAACCACTGTCCGTTGTTAATGCCGTTATTCCAATATCAGAAATCTGTTTTCTTGAACAAAAACACATTCTTACCTGCACGTGACGAAAGTGTAATCCTTCCCCTACCAACACAGAATCACGTAGTCAAGAGGGATGGATACACGAACCAAGACTGAATCTCTGCCAGCTAGCAGTCAGGCAAGAGACAGAACGCCACCTTACAAACACGAGCAAAGTACACCTTCGCCTGTTCCCACAGCTATCTACAGATATCAAACATACAGATGTATTGTCGTCGTCACGATCTGGCTGACTGCTGGCGGAATGTCCCTCAACAAATCGTGCACAGACGGACTTACATTGACGAGTTTTCATGCGGTTAGGACTTTCTTTCAGGTCTCCACGAAGTGCTGTGTCAGAATAATGGCCCACAAAGGCAGGGAGAGTGAGGGGGTGGGGGTTATGTGCGACGGGAGTGACGATTGTGTGAGGTGGTGGTTGTGGTGGTAGGGGGTGGATGTGTGAAGTAGGGAGGGGTGGACAGTATTAAGTGGGCGGGGTGATAAGTATGAATTTTTGGGGGTGGGTGTGGTGGGGTGGGGTGGTGGAGCTTGTACAGTAAACTACGTTTATAACGAACACGCGCGTAACGAACACGCGCGTAACGAACTGTTTTGGGGTCCCGTCCATTTGCTGTGTATATGCTGTATATATTTTTTATGCATAAAACGAACTCTGGTTATAACGAACTATAAGTGGTCCTTTGAGTTCGTTATAACCGTTGTTTACTGTATCTATATTTTAGGTTGAGTCACACAACTGTCTTTCCCGACCTTGCGTATGTGTGCGTGCGTGCGTGCGTGCGTGCGTGCGTGCGTGCGTGTGTGTGTGTGTGTGTGTGTGTGTGTGCTAGGATAGGGAGGGGAGGGGGTATAATTACATTCTGCCTCAAGTTTGAAATAATTCCAACGGCCTTGACATTAACTGCTAGGCAATAGAAAGTATACACCCATATTCGATGGTGGCTTCAAACGAAACAAACAAGAAAATTTATTCGATGGGGATGTACTTGATGCGTTTGTGCGTTCGACCTTGAGTTTGCAGTGTTTCGGCAACTGTGTTCAGTCCAGAAACGTTTTGAATAAAATTTGTAGTTTTTTAGTCAAATCCAGTTTCAAGTTTCGACGAGCAAAATTGCAAACATACACAAGTGAATTTTTTCGATGACAATAACCTTTGTATGATTCACGGTTAACATCATCAAACGTTTAAGGGTCTGCATAAAAGTCAAGTGATGATTTGAGTGTTGAATTATTACCGCTTGATATTTGTTTGTTTCCGTACATGAGGCGGGTTATTTGAGCGACTGAGTGAGTGAGCGTTTACACCGACAAGTCATATATCATTGCACAGAGGTAAGACATCGAGCCTGGGTTTTCAGCGTGACAAAAAAGGCTTGTACCAAATACTTTGAATACTTGAGTTATAGGGCGTGAATTGTATTTTATGCCGCTCTGAACAGTACTGCAGATATAACACTAAAATCGAGCACGGTATGGTGCTAACCTAGGTTCACAATAAGAGTGAGTGAGAATGGTTTTACGCCGCTTTTAGCAATATTCCAGCAATATCACGGCGGGGGACACCAGAAATGGGCTTCACATATTGTACCCATGTCGGGAATTGAACCAGGGTCTTCAGCGTGAAGAGCGAACGCTTTAATCACTAGGCTACCCGACCGCCCCCACAATCAAAATACATCGGAGAGTCGAACCCTCAGATTCATCTGTGCCCATTTAACCACGTGGGCGTCACCTTTACGTGAGCCGGCGTTTATGCATATGTCACTCACTGGATTGTCTGGTCCAGACTCGTTTATTTACAGACCGCCGTCATATAGCTGTAATATTGGTGAGTGTGACGTTTACAACATACAAAACAAAACAAAAAGCATATGCTACCCCGTGACCCATCTGTGTGATAGTAAATGATAACGGTAGGTCTTCGTCATTCCCTTCTCGAGTGAGTGAGTGAGTGAGTGAGTATGGTTTTACGCCGCTTTTAGCGATATTCCAGCAATATCACGGCTGGGGACACCAGGAATGGGCCTCACACATTGTACCCATGTCAGGGAATCGCCGGATTTAAGCCTGTCTGCAGAAATTATACGTAGAGTTAATATCCCTAGAAACTAGTCCTCCAAACCAGTTGGGATTGTAGGGCTAAGTCTGGAGTTTCCCAGAAGTTTAAGGTTCCTGAACTAGCTGTCCGTCTCAGGCATGCCAGAAGCCTATGGCCGTGGGTTTGAAGCCCAGAGTCACCTTCAATGTGTCTCTCGAATAGTCAGGGGGCACGGGTGGCCCAGTCGTCTAAGGCGCCGCAATTCGCTGTGCAGAGTTGCGTCCCATTGACACGCCAGAAACCTATGATTGTGGGTTCGAATCCCGGTTCGCCCCGATTATGTTTCTAGGTTTGTCAGCACCATACCCGTGCTCGTGGGTTTCACCAAGTGGTAAACGTCTGAAACCTGCATCAATTCGGGCTTTCCTCCCACATTGTGCTGACACGCCGTGATAAAACTGTAATACTGTTAAAAACTCACCCACTCACTATGCTACCAAAACGTGCACGATCTTGGGAAAAAACAAAAAACAACAACCACGGCATATCGTGACAAGATTACTATTCGAGAGCGTTGCTTATATGCAGGTAAACGACTGTCCAGATGATTCGTGGGTCTGAATACACTACAGTGCATATCTTAGTACATTAACGCTCTGCGTAGACAAACACAATAAATCAGACTGTGTCATATTAATCAATACACATAAGACTCGACCAACAACATTTTTTGCAAGGAATAATATTGCTTGAGAGATTATCTTTATCAGCCGGCTGTAGAAGGCCACTTAACTACCCGCTTATGTCAAGCTGTTCATCAGACCAGCTATGTATATAATCCAGTGGGTATCTGTGTGTGGCCAAACCTGTCTAAATGCTAATGCTGCGTTTAAGAAAATCCTCAGAATATTTCCAATTACATTGTTGGCATTAAGTCGTGTCTACGATCATGGAATGTTTGTTTGTTTTTTGTTTAAAGCCGCACTCAGCAATATTCCGGCTATATTACGGCGGTCTGTAAATAATAGAGTCTGGACCAGACAATCTAGTGATTAATATCATGAGCATCGATCCACGCAATTGGGATCGATGACATGCATCAACCAAGTCAGCGAGCCTGACCACCCGATCCCGTTAGTCGCCTCTTAAGACAGGCATAGGTTGCTGAAGACCTTCTCTATCCCGGATCTTCACGGGCCTCATTCATGTAAACTCAGTTTTGGTAGCACCGTGGATGGATTCCGTGAATGATCTTGAGTGAGTGATGTGGGTTTAACGCCGCTTTTAACAGTATTAAAGTAATACCACGTCGTTTCAGCTTAATGTAGGAGGAAATCCCGAAGTGATGCAGGTCCCAGACATTTACCACTTCGGTGAAACCCACGAGCACGAGTATGGTGCTGACAAACCTATAAACACAATCGAGGCGAGCCGGGATTCGAACCCACAATAAGGTTTCTAATCACTTCGGATATTCGTCCCAAATCAAGCTGACACGCCGTTTTTTGAGTGAAATACATTTACAACGTACTGTTGTAAGCGTTGTATTGTTTATGTTGATGGGATAAAAAGTAAACGAATGTTGTTGTTGAAATAGTTGGTCAATGAAAATAATAATTATTGATGACTGAAGAAATATATAAACAACGTTTTACATAAATATCAAAATGGGAACAGAAGGCATTCATCCCGTTAATGTCCAGGTTACGGAGCCTGGAGCCTTCAAATTAACAGAGATTCAGAGAGCAAGGATCTTGGATCCGACAGTGTATGTTTGTTGCTTAACGCCGCACTCAGCAATATTCCAGCTATATGACAGCGACCTGTAAATAATCTATTCTGAACCAGACAATCCAGTGATTGACATCATGAGCTTCGATCCACGCAATTGGAATACGATGACATGCATCAACCAAGTCAGCAAGCCTGACCACCCGATCCCGTTAGTCGCCTCTGACGACAGGCATAGTCGTCTATTACGGCAAGAGTGGGTTGCTGAAGACCAATTCTACCCCGGATCTTCACGGGTGGATCCTCCAGTGCAGATATTGTGACCTAAGTGGAAGATAAAGTTCAAAACACATCTTACCTTTCTAGCGCCATCCCGTGGCAATCTATCTCGGCTTCCTTGGGTGTTGAAATATCAGCCTCTATGACTTATGGCAGAACTGCCTAGGCTATAGCGTATTGCATGTCGTCGTCAAAAGTTTCAGGTAAATGTTCACAATGTGAGGCCATGCTAAACTTAAACCACCAAACACACAATCACCGGCTGTCGCTCAAACGTTAGCAACTTCCGATAAAGAAACTTGAAAAATCAGAAACTGTCCTCTTTTGAGGCGATCAAAAGCCTTCACATGTCAACACAAAGTGTGTGTAATCGGGACTATTTTCTGATCACCGAGTGTTCCTTGATAAACCTGGTCATCATTATTTAGAATATTTTTACCATGTCACAAAGTTTCCTCTTTAGGAGCGAGTCCACTAAACCTGACGAGATCCATCCGTCCGAGGCCTACGCTTTCTCGTTGCAATGTCATACAGGACACTCGCCCCGTGAGTCGGCGTTTAAAGTCACAGCACAACGCAGCACGCTGTCAGATAGCAACTACCCAGAATGACACGCGGAAATTAATAGTTTGTTGAATTGAACGCGCTTAAGGCAGGTCAGGCTAATTTCATTGATGAAACCCAACTACACATCGACCAATGCCAAATGTTTCCGACACCCGCTAATCTGTTGGGACAACATTTTCTCAGCAAATCTAAAGCGAAAGCATATCACCTTACCAGAGATTTTTTATGAAAGTTTTATCATTTTAAAAAATCAAACCTTACCAAGTGGCATCTCCTTCGAAAGGGAATGTTTGGCTCTTGAGACGTAATGGCCACACTTAGTGATTTATGGGATTTTTGATTGGCCATAATCGATCGATAACTTGCTATAATCGATGACATGGTTATAGCAGCTGAAAGGTTAAGTTGTCACGTAACCAGGCGACGGAGAGCGAGTAAAGATGTGGCGACGCCGATGGGGGCTGACTAGCAACAATGATATGTTCCCAACAATGTTTGACCATACGCTCTTGGGATTGTTTCCTACTGGCAACATAACTACGTTTGATTGTGTGTGGTACCGGCGTTTGTTGAAACAGCGCCTTAAAAACGCGTATATCTCGTTGACAAAACGTGTCACCTTAATCCAGCTAATCATCAAGTGTGAATGTTGTTTGACGCCGCAGTCAGCAATATTCCAGCTAGGTTTTCGTCTGTATTCTCGCGACGGCTAATAATTCATCGAATCTGGCCAGAAAAGCGAATTCCGATTAAATAGGGCATTTCCTTTGAAAGAAAAAAAAAGACAATGAAATGACCCTTTTAAGTTTTAACTTGTCGGACAAAATGGCCACTTCTGTAACAGTGTGATTGGTACACCACGTTGTTTGATTGGCAGGTGGCGGGAGATTAATTCAGATCGGATGTTCTCAACCTAGGTAATCCGTATCAAATTCACGTTTTTCCCGACGCCATGCGGGGCGGTCGGGTAGCCTTATGGTTAAAGCGTTCGCTCGTCACGTCTAAGACCCGGGTTCGAATCCCGACATGGGTGCAATGTGTGAAGCCCCTTTCTGGTGTCTCCCGCCGTGATATTGCTGGAATATTGCTGAAAGCGGCGTATGACCACTCACTCACTTACGCAACACCATGCACGTTCATTCCGTACCCACCCCCTTTCTAAAATGAAATGTTCCAAGCAGGACCCACGGATAAAACATGCAACAATTGCGCAAAGCACGCTCACCTAACATCTGTGCGTCGTGTGCCGAAAGCCTGCAATCCAATTATTTACTGCAAGTTGTCACACACATGGAGCCTTTTGTCCAGGGTTATCAAAACTACAAAATCCCAAGCTGTCGGGAACCCTCTCATGTTTATCAAGACTGTCATCCAACCAATACCGATTGTTGAGTCAACTGCTACAACCACAGTTTTATTAGATTAACAAGTCATTTGAATGGATTTACACCCCGCCAAAAAAACCGGAACAGCCTCAACACCAGATGTCCTTATCAGCTGATAAGTTCGTAGTTTGCTCAACATGTATCGAATGTTATGTCAAGATCGTAAGACATTAAATATTAGTTGCACTAAAACAAATTCAATAAGGTGTATGGGTCTTTAAATGCCGAGCAGATTATTGGGACTGTTTTACATGCCTTAAAGCTTGCGTTATCTAGGAATATCAACTGTCTGCTTTATCAAATGGACTCTCCCGACAACGGTCTCGTTTAAAGATATGACAACCGTCTCGATATTGCAATTTATTTATGATTATGATTAACGGCTAAAATGGACAAGGTGTTATTTTTTAAGAAACAAGACATGCCATCGCGGAAATTAATGATAAGATTTATCATGCGTTTAAGTGGGTAAAGCCAGCGTGTGATATATTGCAAGGAAGAAGTATTTATTAATCACACCTGAGACATGAAGGCCGCTTGGTGCATTCGGTCCCATTCAGATAAGGGAGGTGGTGCGGTAATTTGATATTATTCAGCCTCGACCCCCCCCCCCCCCCCCCCCCCCCCCCGACATTTAAACATTAAAGCATTTCTATGCCAAATTTGATGGAATTTCATCTGTTATTGATTTTATGGCAAGCGCGACCAAACAATGATGCAGATCGTTATCGTTATTTTTGATATTTCGGGAATGTTGTTTTACGGCACCCTCAGTAATATTCCTGTCGAAAGCACCCATCCCCGCCATCTGAAACCAACCAACGCGTTCCGTTGTCGCCTTGGGAAGATGGGGAGAAGGGGACCTGCTCTGACCTGGGGGTAAGTTTGTGGAAGATTCCCAGTTAGTTCAGTGAGTGAGGGAATGTTGTTTACTTAAGATAGGCACCGGTGAAGATCCAGGTTAGTATTGGTCTTCAGCAACCCATTCTTAGCGTAAAGGCGACTAACGGGATCGAGTGGTCAGCATTATGACGCCGGTCTGTAAATAATCGAGTCTGGTCCAGACAATCCAGTGATTAACATCTTGAGCATCGATCCACGCAGTTGGGATCGATGACATGCATCAACCAAGTCAGCGAGCCTGACCACCCGATCCCGTTAGTCGCCTCTTACGACAAGCATTGTCGCCTTTCACGGCAAGCATGGGTTGCTGAAGACCTATTCTACCCCGGATCTTCACGGGTCTGTGGTTGTAGTAGTCCTCATTGACCAGGATCTAGGGGCTATAATTATATTACCAGTTCTAAATGTTTCAGTTTTACCACAGTGGGCACGGTAGGCCCAGTCATCTAAGGCGCCGCGATTCGCTGTGCAGAGTTGCGTCCCTTGGGCACGCCAGAAACCTATGATTGTGGGTTCGAATCCCGGTTCGCCCCGATTATGTTTGTAGGTTTGTCAGCACTATGCCCGTGCTTGTGGGTTTCACCGAAGTGGTAAACGTCTGAGACCTGCATCACTTCGGGCTTTCCTCCCACATTAAGCTGACACGCCGCGATATAACTGGAATAGTGTTAAAAGCGACGTTTAACCCAACTCACTCTCTCACTCAGTTTTACCACAACCTGGAACAGACTAACACTGACAGCTTCAACCTCTGAGGCCCAGTGAAAAAGGTCTCCACTAGTCACATACTATGATCATGGGTTCGAATCCCACATATGCCTAGGATTTGCAACTCCATATCTATGTTCATACCTACAATGTAACCGTGCAAAACTGTAAGTTCAGATTTGGTTTGGGGGCCTGTAGATCTAGTGCTGACAAACCTAGAACTGTTACCCACGGCGACATTCGACCCCACGATCATTGGGTTTCTGGCGCCTGAAGACTTAACTCTGCACAGTGAATTGCAGCGGGCGGTCGGGTAGCCTAGTGGTTAAAGCGTTCGCTCGTCACGCAGAAGACCCGGGTCCGATTACCCACATGAGTACAATGTGTGAAGCCCATTTCTGGTGTCCCCTGTCGTGATGTTGCTGGAATATTGTTAAAGGCGGCGTAAAACCATACTCACTCACTCCGGAATTGCGGCGTCTGGAAACTAGGCCACCGTCTGACGCATTGACAGGTACTCTTACATTTGTCTGTCGAACTCTCAAGCTATGTTGTCATTTAATCACGCATACATAACCAGTTAAATACCAACACAGCCAGAGTTTCTCATTGAAAAATTCAGCGTAAACTAATAACGCTTTGAATAATAAATCACGAGTTAAATGTCAAATGAAAGACATATTATACGTCTTACACGTCTTTGGTCAAGTGAACTTCCCGTCCGCGTTCTGATCCCTTTAATACATACAAGGCCTACTATCGTCGTCGATGTCAGCAAAGTGTGTAGAACTCAACCACTAATTCAGTTTATAAATTCACACACTTCCATTAGGCGTGTGAGAAAGGCCATAAATAACTGTAATACACTGTCCCGCTGCCGATCGTGGCAATACTACCAGGATACATTGAAGCGTTGGCGCTATATCAGCTCACAGGGGATCACTTCCATAGCTTTTTACGGCCATCGAAATCCCTCCGTCTACAACGAGCGGGTGGTTCTACCGAGAAACATGTGTTAATTGGAAATATTTTATATATTGCCTAAAATGAAATATTATGTAATTGTCTTGTGATGAATATTGTTGAATGCACAAAGAGTTATTTAGTTCTTATTTGGCATGTTGCCAATACTTGTCAATGAGGGGGTGGCTGTAAAGTAATATTATTGCGAAATTCTACTATTTGCGGACTCTACTTTTGACATGTCGCTTGGCTTTTGTCGAAGTCAGACCTACATGTATAACATCTTTATCATAAATAACGGACATGTTTAAGTAACATCTATATCATGAATAACGGACATGTACAGCATCTATATTATGAATAACGGGCATTTAAATAACATCTATATCCTGAATAACGAACACATTTAAATAACAGCTATATCATGAATAACGGACATGTACAGCATCTATATTATGAATAACGGGCATTTAAATAACATCTATATCCTGAATAACGAACACATTTAAATAACAGCTATATCATGAATAACGGACATGTACAGCATCTATATTATGAATAACGGGCATTTAAATAACATCTATATCCTGAATAACGAACACATTTAAATAACAGCTATATCATGAATAACGGACATGTACAGCATCTATATTATGAATAACGGGCATTTAAATAACATCTATACCCTGAATAACGAACACATTTAAATAACAGCTATATCCTGAATAACGAACACATTTAAATAACAGCTATATCATGAATAACGGACACGTACAGCATCTATATTATGAATAACGGACATTTAAATAACATCTATATCCTGAATAACGAACATATTTAAATAACATCTACATCATGAATAACGGGCATGTATAACATCTATATCATGAAAGACGGGCATTTATAACATCTATATCATGAGTAACGGGCATGTATAACATCTATATCATGAATATCGGGCATGTATAACATATATATCATGAATAACCGGCATGTATATAATCTATATAATTAATAACCGGCATGTATACGATTTTTTATCATGAATAACGGGCATGTATAACATCTATATCATGAATAACGGGCATGTATATCATCTATATAATTAATAACCGGCATGTATAAGATATATTATCATGAATAACGGGCATGTATAACATCTATATCATGAATAACCGCCATGTTT